GACGTTGTAAAACAAGCCAATTCACTTCGTGAACTCGGCAACCAGGTTACCGTTCTTTTTTTTTTCCTCCGTTTATTGGGTAACCGTAATGGTGGTCGAGTAGATCATGTTGTGCGGGGTCGGGGTCGAGAACCCTCACTCCGCGCAAGGGGGATGATCGCACCACGTTGTGTTGAAATGGCCAAGCACCCTCGAGGCAGTTACACGGTGCTTACAACTGTCTCTCGACGTGAAAGCACCAGAAAGTTAATTAAGTCATCAGCAGCTGTCATCCGTACGCAAGGAAGTAAGCACAAGATGCCGAAAACCCTTAGCAGGATGCAGCGCACCCTTCATGCGACTCGCCGAATATCTCACGGCGCTTCGCGCTTGGTGATGTGAGAGCCTGGTCCGGTGAGAACCCGGCGTGCTCCGTCCCGGCTTTGTAGGGATGCGAGGTCAATGGTCTAACGACTACGGCATGCACGACTATGAGGACCCCCCCCCCCCCCCGATTCCCCCCTTTCTTGTCTTCGCTGTGATTTTGTGCGAAATCAGGTCGCGACGCCCCGCTTCACGGGCACGGCTCAGCACTCCGTCATGTCCTACACGGACCACATCGAGTGCGACACCGAGGGCGCCACAATCCGCTACACCCTGGACGGTTCCGATCCCGTCACCACAACAACGACGTCGGTGCACGAGGTGGCCCCCGGGGGCTCGGTGTTTGTGAAAACGATCGGAACGGTGACCATCCGGGCGGTCGCGACGAAGGAGGGCATGGAGAACTCGGACGAGGCGCAGAAAACGGTCACGATTCAGGTGCTGCTGTCAGGGAGGGTGGAAGAGCAGGTTGTGGTTTTTTCAGGGTCCGACGGCACGAGGGTGTACCCTATGCTGTCCTCGTAGGTGGTACAGGACCCATCCGTCCTGACTCTATCTCCCAGTTTCAGGCACTGGTGCTGCTGCTGCTGTGCTGTGCTTGCTGCTTTGCTGAGCAGCCACTCACAAAAAAAATCCGTCGAGGAGGGCATTAAGAACGGCAAGCAACGCAACCAACCCGAAGCCGCCCCCCCCCCCTGCCTGCGCGCCACACACAACAAAAATACAGGATCAAGTCGAAGATCCTGCCCTCTTCTTCGCTGGCGAGAGCGCGACTGCCGACGTGACCCAGGAAGAAAATGCCTTCCTTCGGACCGTCGCCATCACCATGAACTGCTCCACGCCCAACGCCACCGTGCGGTACACCACGGATGGCGTTTCCGTCCCGGGGGACACGTCCCCGTCGGTAGAGCCCGGGACCGTGGTGCAGTGGTCGGAGGAGGGCACGTGGGAGTTCAGGGTGGTTGCGGTGGCGGACGGCCTGTACCAGAGCGAGCTCACCAAGTGGCCGGTGACGATCGTTGCGCCCAGGACCGATGAGTACCCCGTCGCGGGGTCGTCGGGAGGTGAGACAGAGTAGGTGTTGCCTGAGGCGAATGACCTTGGGTTGCTGCTGCTGCTGCTGCTGCTGCTGCTGCTGCTGCTGCTGCTGCTTCTGCTCGTCTGTCACTGGCTGCACTGACGTAGTAAGTGAGCGTGTCTTCTAGTTATGCCTCTCGAGGCGATGTGTTTTCGCACAAAGGTGACCAAGATACCCGTTGAGCGGAGTGACTCCACATGGAGTCGATCTATCCGCATCACGACGCAGACATTAGCGGACCTTGCACACTGTCTACCCGGGGTGCCACGCGCCGCTCGAGGTGAGTGCATGACTCCTGACAGAGTTAAAAGACGACGGAGACAATCGAGGGGCCTTTCGGTGGGGAAAGCTTCAGTGTATCTTGCGGTTGATTTGTGGCCAGCTTGTACATATCCTTCGCATATTTGGTCGCCTCGGTGGTATAGTGCTGCTCTCGACACCTAAAGTGGCAAAAAGTCGTGAGTTCGAATCCTTCGGCCTTCCCCCCCCCCCGCGCGCGGACGCCATTGAACCCTTCGTTCTCCTTGCACTCTCCGCTTCCCCTCTCCCACACCTAGGTTCGACCAGCGATAGCAGCACCAGCGATAGCAGCAGTAGTGGCTCTAGCGACATGCTGGCGAGGGTAGACGTAACCGCAATCGAGGCCGTCTACGCTGCCCCTGCGGCGGAGCTGGAGCAGCAGGAGATGTTGGGTCCCGGCTACGGCGACCAGTGCGAAGGCGGCGCGCGCGTCGTTAGGGGGAAGCTTCTCCGGCTGTTAAACCCGAGCGGCCACTTTTCGTTCGCGGCGCCGCCGGGTGCTTGCGGCGGCGACGGCGACGGCGACGAGAAGGGTGAGTGTCAGGATGAAGGAAAGGGAGGGAGGGAAGGAGGGAGAGCGGGGCGAAGGAGAGAGAGTAAGAGAGAGAGAGAGAGAGAGAGCGTGTTGCTTTGTTGTTAAAACATTGTGCAAACCAAAGGTCGAGCTTGGATTCAAGCGTAGTCGATTGCTGGGAACACTTCGTTTAGCCTGTTGTGACTCTCAGCGGGTCTGTCGACCCTGCTCCTTGCTGCTAGCTTAACATACCAGTCCCCTCCTCCTCCTCCTCCTCCTCCTCCGTCACGTTCAACCAGCAAATCCTCTGAAAACACGCCGCACTGTTCACCCCTCCTTCCTCCCCCCCCTCAACACCAGCCCTCTCCCCGGCGTCCCAGACAAGCCGAGCCTTCGAGGCGGTCCGCCGAACCGCCCCACTCCTGGACGGCGAGTCCCCGGAGGACGCCAGGGTTCGCCTCGACCTCGACTCCCGAGAAGCGGCCTGGCGCGCGGCCGGCGGGGGTAACGGATGCCAGGCGGCGGCCGCGGGAGGCATGCTTCCCCCGCTGAGCGGCGGCGGCGGGGACGGCGGGAGTTGTGCGGTTGGCCATCTTGTCGGCGCCGGTCAAGTCTTCCAGGCGGAAGAAGGGACGGGTGAGAGAAGAGACAGGGCGAGCGCCACACCCCGGGCAGGGGAATTTTTCGTGTGTGTCGTGTTAGGGGCAGGGTATTGAGACGTCGATGGGGTGTTGGACATGGAGTGCATGCCTTCGTCCGGCGGTGTTGCTTGGTCCGATAGGGTGAGTTTCGTCGAGTGTTAAGTGCATCATGCATGTTTTCGGTTTCAAAGGTTTTCGTACGGCCGAAGGGTTCGTGGAACCGTCCTCGCACGAATAGGCGGGGAAGCCCCACGTGTAGCCCCTCCCGAGACAAACAAAGCGAGACGTGAATTCTTGATCCCTCGGTGGGTGGTAGAAGTGTAGAGTAGTAGTCCTTCGACTTTTTCATGGTTTGATTCTGCAATAACGTTCCGCTCGGTAAGAATCGCGCGGCGCCCCTCGCCTTTCCTGTCTTCATTTTCATTTTGTTTTTTGTCCCTTTCCTTCCGGGCAAGTTGTCTATCGTGCCCTGCAGGTTTGTGTGTCTGTTCCTGCTCATGATCCAGCGCGAGATCAAGACTGTTTCTCGTGTTCTCATTTTCCCTTTTCTCCTATCCATTCTCTGCCCTTCTTGCGCGGCCGTGCGTGTCTGCTTCCGCTCATCTCCAGCGATGGTCAGCTTCGGAGTCCGGGGAGACAGCTTCGTGGTGGGAACGATCACCGCCGAGGAGGTACTAGACGAACATAACCCTTTCCAGAACCTCATCTCCGGAGCCGGGTGGCTGGTGCGCGCGGGAGTCAACCACGTCGAGGCCTCGGCGAGGGACGGGCACCTGGACGTCTTGCTCGACGACGACGACGATGGCGAAGGAGAGGAGGGCGTCGGTAGTGGCGGCAGCGGCAGCAGCAGCGCGGGGGTTGGCGAGGGAGGGGCGCTGGACGACCTCCTCGTGGCGAAGCTGGCGCGAACCGCGATCGGTCACGACTCTGAGGGGCGCTTGATCTTGCTGCAGGTGCGTGGGGGGGGGGGGGGGGGG